ACACGGTCCGCGTATTTCTCGGGCCAGTCCCTGCAGTCGTTGTCCTTAGCTCGATCCCGGGTGGTGGCCCGACTGTCACTGGCGGATCCAGCTCAGATTTTTGGGAGGGGCAAACAATAACAATTTATCAGTTCTTCATCTTCAATTTATTTCAATTTGAATTTCAATTTACTTTATTCAATTTATTTTACTTTAAATTTATCGTGCGCCGTCCATAGGCGTTATGTTAAAATTATGCCGTTTGGGAGGGGCAATTGACCTATTTGCCCTCCCCTGGATCAGCCACTGCCGACTGTAACACACCACCAATGAGATTTTTACGGCCACTCCTCTCCTCATCAGCTCGGTCCAATATTATTGCATGTCGTAGAAAAAAAAACTTGGCAGCAATGAATTACGTTTAGCTGCCTGCGCCAGTGGCAATCCCTTTTATGAAATCAGCGACATTGCTCGGCCGGAACATACGTCACAAACTTACGTCATACCCCGCGGGACCAATGGGGACCAGAGGACCATTTTTCGTAAGTATTGTCGGGGAAGGGGGACGGCTAAACGTTGATAAACTAGGTATAGATGAGAGAACATGTATGGTTATTTGGGCTCTATCCGCGGCACGCCACTTTTCATAAACGATCACGTTTCCTAATGTAAACCGAAGCGCTAATCGGCCTGGTAGTGTCCATGAAGCGGCGTGCCGTGCAACAGTCTCACAAAAGTCGTGTAACACTTAACACGCGCACTGCAGGGGGGGTTGTTTTCAACCCCCCTTGTGGTTTTTCGCAAATTGCGAGAAAACGGCGGCGTGTAGCGCCGCCAAATTTTGCATACCTGTTCTCACAACTTTTGCACATCTTGAGTAAAAATTTTGACCCCAGGTGACCTATGGTCAGGTCACCAGGTCAGGTCAAGTGACCCTACCTCGAAACGTAAATTTCGAAGTTTGCAATCCCACCAAGCCCACAGTTGTTGAGATATGATCTTGAAACCCACAGGAAATAGTAAAGTCATCACGAGCTACAACTTGTATATCTCGGAATTTTTATATCGATGACCTAAGGTCAGGTCATTTTTGCGACCGGCCCATTATAAGTCAATGGGAGAAATTTCAACTTACTCTGAATGCCATCCTATGACTTCAATACGCTCAGGATCATAGTATTACAGGTCCCTGTTGGTGATTTCACCGAAACATATCACTTATGGCCTTCGGAAGGTGATCTCCAGGTCATCTTAGGTCACCTGAGGTCACCAGCGGTTTTTCTTCAATAACTTGAGATTGAGTAGAGATAGAGACTCCGTTCGACGTTTATCGTGTTTTTCTCGTCAATGCGGATCGAATGATATGCAACATGACCTATTTCGGTCAGGTCATGACCTTGACCTGAGGTCAAATTTTCAACTTGACCTTTCGAGGTCATATTATATATCATTCGATGCGCCTTGACGAGCTAAGAACGATGGCGTTCGAATCGATCCTCTGTCTTGTGTGCAAGACAAGTTATTCAAGAAAAACTACCGCGAAATTCCTGTTGTAAAAATCGTAACATTTTGTCTTCGGTGACCTCTGGTGACCTCGTTTTTGACCTGACCCAAAAATGATCTTAGTATTTCTTGTCGATCTCATCTTAACCTATCCAACGCCGTTTACCGCTTGTCGCTACGTTGCGCCGTTTTCGAGATCTCAGGGGGGGGGGTTGTTTTCAACCCCCCCCCCCTGCAGTTCGTGTTCGGCTCAGACCCGCTGCAGTGCGCGTGTTAACACTACAGGGCCGAATGTTGTCTGTAGCATTTATATACCCTGTATGTACAGTGCACGGCACTGCCGGCATCGAATCACACTCAGACGGAATCATCAGTTTCTGCTCTAACCGCAGGTCAGTTAACGCTTTTGGAAAGCTATTCAAAAACGGTAACGGGGCCCAGTTGCACGACTAGATCCCTGTGGCGACAACCTATGATGTTAGCACGTAACACGCGGTAGTGGCGGTTGGCAGCGTGCCAAGGACCAGGGTCCCGGTCTCAGCGGTCAGTGGGGCTCGGGCTGGTATCGGGTCCGCCCTGATGGGGGGGGGACAGGGGGGGGGTGCTGCACGCTGCAACGGTCGCCGTCGGCGGCATATCTGAGCCACCGAGTCCAGGAGAGCGGCATGGGTGGGTCGTCTCTTCAGTCCGCTGTCGAGATACATCACCCGACAGAGACGTCCATTAGACCTCTGTCGGTTCTGTGGTGTGTTTATGGTCATTCTTGTTATTACCGTATGCCATGTTATTCTAAGCAGTTTGGGAATTACCATATCCTAGCAGACATGAGATCAGTGCTGAGTAGGGAGTCATAGCTATACGAAAGAGGAGGGGGCGGCGGTGCCAGTTGGAGAAGAATTCGAAACAGGCTGCACGTCGGACATCAGGATCTATCCTATCTAGGATCTATACCGTAACGATTTGAGTATGCAGCAGCACATTGCACGGGTTTCATACTGCTAAGGGTACGATACGGGGATGTTGCTGTTGTTCATTAGAGACAGTTATCATATGAGTGCGCGATCCACACATTGTTCAGGACCTATATACTGACTGTCATTTGTCGTTGTCGGACGAAAACAAAAAAAGATTAACCCGCACCCCGTAGGAGGGGGGGGGGGGCCGAAACGGCCCCCTGTCCTTCTCCGTCGATATCTCCTAAACGGCTGGAGATATCGCCACCAAACTTTCAGGACCCCTCCGGGGATCAATTTTACACATTGTGATTAAATTTTTTCCAAAGGCTATGATAGGTTGGCCACAAATGACGTCAGAATGACGTCATGTTCTGTCATTTTCGACCGAAAAAAGACCTTCGCGAGAAGACCTGTCAGGCCTACAGCTTTGAAGATACAGAAAAATGATCAAGACATTAAAGTTGTAGAATTGACAGGGCTACAAAACTGATATCTCGGATTTTTGAAATTTTTGAGTTTTGACCCCCAAAAATAAAAAAACATTTTTTTGGATATATTAGCTAAAAAATCCCAAAAAAATTTGATTTAAAAAAACGGAATATATGTGATAGTACCTACCGTCTTCTATCTACATACCGAATTTCAGATCAATGCCTCGTTTTTTGGCCAAGTTATAGCGAAAAAAAACTTCAAAAATGATGACGTCAAATTTTCAAACTCAATTTTTGGCAATTCTAGACCTCGTAGAGCAAAACAAAGACCACCATTAGACTCCCCGTGACGAGCTGCATCGAATCGATACCTATTGTATGCAAAAATATCAACTTTAAAATTTGACGTAATTTGACCTGACCTTGACCTGACCTTCACCAAAACGTGACCTAGGCTGGCCCCAAAGGCCGCCTAACCCACAAAATCGCATTTGTCATGTAAAATGGACCATCAAACATGTATCACACGACACTTTCATATTGTGACCCCCGGTGACCTGACCTCGCTGTGACCTGACCTGGTATCAGTGACCTCAGATAGCAGAGTATCTGTTTGACGAACAATGTACCATCGATGGTTTTCAATAAATTACCAATTTACTCGATTTCACAGCACATTTCTTGAAATGCCTGTGAACGGTGAAAATCCGACCTTTGACCTGACCTGTGACGTCATCGGTTTGACCTAGGTCAATGAATTTTGGTCACAAGGTAGTTCCCCGGTGGGGCTATCGAACGCCGTTTGAATTTTGAAAATCGGCCGGTAAATTTCCGAGATCTTAGGGGCCGAAACGCCCCCCCCCCCCTCCCTCCCCCCTACAGGTGGTAGGGTCCGCCGATAGCCCTACGGGGCGCGGGTTAAGTCCAAGTCTCGGGGCTGATATTTCGGAATATTTTCCCGAATTTCGGCGAAAAAAACAATCGAAGGAAGCAGGCAGCGTGTGAGAATTCAATTTTCGGTCAGATTAAACATAGTCTCCAACGAAGCACTAACGCTAACGGCTAAATACCAGAACGGCAGAGATGTAAATGTAATTTAGAGATGTAGTCAAACAAAAACATTGCGAGAATATCAGTTCCAAATCGGAATGCAAGATTCGAATGGCGTCTACGTCCTTCGCCATTAATTTGTAAATACTCCGTGTCTGTCCGTTCTTATAGCACTGTGAATGGACGCCGCTGACCGCTGCAGGCCGATGATCCGAAAACTCCAAATAATTATCATCGAACCACCGTGTCACAAAGTGCAACTTTTCGTGGCCCCGCCCCACGCCGAGCACGCAAATCCCGTTGTCAATGCCAGAAAACTCACAGCCGAGGTAGATCCGATAACGCGGCGTTCAACAAATAAGGTGACCTCGACCGGTGCTTGACAGCGCTGCATTTCACTATCAGTGGACGGATATTGACAGTAGCTATGTACCGTGATGGGCTGTCCCGTCTGACTAGTTCGAATAAGGTGTGACTGTTGGTGCAATTTGCCCCGCGGCCCGCACCAGAACTGCCCCTGGTATATGCTATGCTTCGTCGCCTCATTCCATAATTTGTATTCGGTGTGGCAGTGCCAGTGCAGGATTGATGTTGTAGATACTTTTTAGGTACCTATAGGTACCTAAACCTTCATGTAAGATGTCGGGCTTTTCACTGTTGAAATGTGACGCCGGCACCGTTGGTGTTCACACTGCTGTTCTGGAAGTCTTGCTGGACCTCCCCCCGTACCCCGCCCCCTTCCCAATACCCCCGGTCTAGGTCTGGAGCCCCACTGGTGGACTTGTGTTGATATCATAGGAGAGTCATAGCTCTTATCCTATCCCAGTATTTATTGTAGGGGGATTGAAATACACGCAGTCCCTACGAGTTCCAAAATCTGGTATAGGTACCGTGTCTCGAAAGTTATGATCGTGATCGGAATGATCGTGTGCAGAATTGTTAGCATAGCAAGCATTTTGCCTATATTTGAGTCATATTCTAATGCCTGAACAGTGAACAATGCCGATAAGTTATGTATCAAATTCTACGTGTCAATGGTGCTGGAAGGTTAAGATTATGAAACCTTCAAACAAAATATACCTACATTTTGATATGCATGTATTTGTTTGAATCAAATATAAAAAAAACATAAGGATTAAAATAATAAATACATATTTTGATATGTGTTGATGATCAACTTGTAGGTACACAAACTATATAGGTAGGTACAGTCTACAGACATGCATATTTACAGAAGTATTTACAGATCACAGCAGCAACTACCATGCGGGGTAATACAAATGAACAAGAGCACAAATAGCAATATTTATAGCCTACGCATGTATGTACACAACACACATCAAAACAAATCCGACACATTGCGATAGATAAACAAACACATGTCGAACCATCAGAGAAGCTTTCCCTGCCATCACAGTGAATGTCCACATTCCGTGAGAAGTCCCCTGCCCCCTCTCCTCACAAACACTGCACACATTGTCTCCGGGCAGAGTCAAGTACACCTGGTCCGGTCTATTACATAGATAATTAAAAGCAGAAAAGCACGTAAGCATGTACATATGTACATACAATACACATCAATGAAAGCCCACCCTCCACACATTGCACAAACGACGCATACAAACCCCTGAGAGAACCTTTCCCTGCCATCACAGCGAGTGTGAGAAGTCTACTCCCACCCCCTTCGCACACTGTATGTACACACTGTCTCCGGGCAGAGTCGAGTATACCTGACCCGGTCTCGTGTCCATTGTTAGGCACTAGAGTCGGGTAGTCTCACCATCCGGACTGATGAAGCTCATGTTAATCTGACCGTCCCTATTGGAGACTGGGCTATCCCGGCCGCCCAGATTGGTGGAGTTAACATTTCTGTTGATGCATTGGCCACACACTCTTAGACACCGTAGTGCCCTTCCTAGCACATTTCCGATCCTGCTCATCTTCGAGCAGGCCACTATCTCTTCCTCTCCTCCCTCTCTGTCTTCCTCCTCTCCCTCACATTCCTTGACCTTTTCCTCTTCCTCCTCTCCGTTAGTGTGCTTTCTGTCTTCCTCCTCCCCCTCACCGTCCTTGTCCTCCTTGTATTCCTCCTCTCCCTCATATTCCTTGACCTTTTCCTCTTCCTCTTCCCCCTCGCTGTCCGTGTCCTCTCTGTCTCCCTCTTCCTCCTCCCCCTCGCTGTCCGTGTCCCAGCCATGCTCGGCGAACCAGTCGGGCTCCCTGCAGCGCGCCGGCAGCGACTCCCACCGGAAGGTGTCGAGGAACCGCTCCGACCAGAGGCGGCCCTCCACCGCCGCCGGGTACAGCAGGCAGCACAAGCCCTCCGGGTCAATCTTCCCTTCATCATCCGGATGCGTCGGGTAGGGGTCGTCGACTCTGCGCTTCCAGCAGCACCAGAGCATCTGCTGCGCGTTCAGAGGGAGGTTCAGCAGGTGGCGCATCAGCGGCGCCTGGCTCGAGCTCAGCAGGCCAGCCAGCAGCAGCTGGATGGCGCGCGGCAAGAGCACTAGTAGCGTTGACACTGCAAACCATATCTTGAGTTGTACCGTTCCGGACCGCAGTTTGATTTCAGGAGAAAAGTAGCATCGCAGACCATCGTTCTCGGCACACTCGAGTAAGAACTGCAGGACGGCCCTCATCGACTCCAGCATGCCGTCCCAGGTCCAGAGCTCTGGCGCACGTCGCTCGCAGACCCACATCATCGCCGTCTTCAGCTCGTAGCTGCTCAGCCAACTATCCGTCAGTGCAGCGCAGTGTTTGAGCAGGATCAGACAGATCCGCTGGGGCTTGGTCATAGAGCGGATCACTTCCGACTCGAGACGTGAAAATGACATACGAAATGTGTTTTCGTATGAAAAACCTTTTCCAACCAGGTAGATTCCCAGTAAACATGACGACGTCGGTCCGACGTCGGGCCGAGGCTCGGCCCGACGTCGGCCCAACGTCGGTTCAACATCGGCCCGACATCGGCTGGACGTTGGATATGCCCGCATGTTCCGACGTCCAGCCGAAGTCCAGCCGACGTCGAGCCGACGTCGGGCCGAGATCGTTTGCCGAGGTTGACGAGATCGTTTGTCGCTGGACTGACGGGGCCGACGTCGGAATGTTTATTGGGACATTGCGCCAAAAATATCAACCGGCGGCGGGATTCGAGCCCCCCAGTCGCCGACGTCGGCATGTTTACTGGGACAACACGCCAAAAGCATCAGCCGGCGATGGGATTCGAACCCCGTGTCATTCGAACGCGAGGTTAGTGCGCTAACCACTACACCACGCAGCCAGCTAACGAATTTGGTTTGTTTTGTTGGGTTATGCCCTTTCGGTCTGACAAGACCATTTCAGAGCCGGAAGGATCATAGGATGGAGACATTGGTCTTCTTGGCGAGCACCCTGGGTCCAGTATAGAGTCCCTGGTCCCATTGCTGTTACGTGACACTTATTGGAAAGGGCGACCCCACAATGGATTCATATAGCCACTCTTACACACCTGCACCAACGTTTCCCAAAGTGTCCCTTTGATAAGTGGCACTTTGGCAAAGTGACACTTGCCGACTGGCCTTTCTATATGAACTGGGCCCGGTCCTGGTGAGTTGCCGGGGCTGAGCCTGACCAAAGCCAGGATATGCCAAGCAGCCCCCAAGCACTCACCGCACCCGGCTACGGGCGAGCTCGGCTTACGGGCAATCCCAAATGGGATAAAGTTTCCCGTCCAGTCCGGATTAGGGGGTTGCGGCGTGGAGGAAGATTTGAGTTTCCTGAGGATATTTTGAATACAGAAGCTCTTTATGAAACATCAAACATGTATTTTATATTATTTTAACGGTCAAAACAGCGGCCGATGTCGGTCCGACGTCGCTCCGACGTCGGCCCGACGTCGGCTGGACCTCAGCAATTGATCTCGGTCCGACGTCGGCCCGACGTCGGCTGGACATCGGCTGGACGTCGGAACATGCGGGCATATCCGACACCCAGCCGACGTCATGCCGAGGTTGGACCGACGTCGGGCCGACGTCGGCATGTCGATGCCGAGTTGCCGACGTCACCCCGACGTCGGCCGACGTCGGGCCGACGTCGGCATGTTTACTGGGTTGGCATCTCACTCAGCTTCTTCACCAAAGCCTTGTTCGGCTGTCCCGATGGTCGTTCTCGGTTCACAAACTCGTCACTGACCCTCTCGGAGTACTTGAGACAGGGGACGAGGTCAATGCTGTCACCATCGAGGGTTACTTCAATGTTGGGCCTGTTATTGTCCCAGAATTTCTTCACACATTCTTTCATAGCTGCGGCTATATCTGATTTGAGAGATTTGAATGTTAATTCACGTCTGACAGAGGTGTCATCCTCCCGCTGGAGAATCTGAGTGATGTACACGAAACCCGGGTAACGTGTAACTTTCTTTACACAAAGGGTCACACTGTTGTCGGAGCTGTCTGGTCGTGTGCTGTCTGTTCTATTTGAATCATATTTTTGCACAGTGTCGGAACCGTGCTGTTTTGTTCCGCAGCCAACGTGCTCGCTACCGGAGGACTCACTACTCTCTGAAGCGTCAGAGTCCCTCAGCGGTCCTTCCTCCCATTTCACTGGTCCGGCTAGAAGCATGAAGTCTATGTCAGATGCATTTTTGAGCGTATCAGCAGATGGTGCGTCGTCATCGCTTGATGATTCTCCTTCCCCTGTCATCATCCGCTCCTCTCTCCCCTCAATCCAATGCGGCATAGCAAAGCCGTCCTCACTCACCCACTCAAACGCTTCAATTGTTTCAGTAACGTTTGAGTCATACTTGGTGACATGCACCTCAGTACCTTCACTCACGCTTCCCGAAACAAATATATTCTGGATCGCTATGCATCCATGTGACCCACATTTCCAATGGCCATCCCGGACATCGTTAGAAAACTCTAACCCGGATAAATCGCATTTTATGACGAATTTGAGGCCATGTAAAACGTCTTTTAATTGTTTCTTGTAATCATGCGCCCGATGTCTCCTGTGTGACTTGGAGAGCAGTTGCTCCCTCCATCGTAGGACTCGTCCTAGAGCTGAGACCATTTCGGCCAGTGACCGCGGAGTATCCATTGCTCTCCGGATTCCCTCCAACTCAGGAGCAGTCGCACAGATCTCCCCGGGTTTCTGGGGATGGGAGTCTTTTGTGTTGTGATCAGGAGAGTAAACCGTGACCTGCTTCACAACAGGCTGCCTAACCTCTGTGACAGCTCCCATCGTGAGCCCTAAGAGGTGACTGACTTGTCTTTTCCATTTTTTTTTTTACATTTTGTATGATCGAGATGTGCTTTGATGATACTGTTTACGTAGACTCTATATCGAATCAGCTTCAACAGGTTGAGCAATTTCTCAGCCTTGGTGACGAACGGGCATGTGTAGGCATACATACCACTGTGAATTTCTCTTTTGAGCTGTCGTAGCCATGAAAGCCTGGTACTTTCAGAAACCTGATGCATCAGAAACCTTTCAGAAACCTGTTGATCCTGATCATCTGTTTGAGCCTGCCGTCCAGCTGGACTTTCGTCGCAGTCCATACGAACCCGCTCTACCTCCATTCTTCGGACAGCAGTTCTGGCGGCATCGACGGATGTGTAGAAGTCAGGTTTATAGTGAAGCACATGACGACATAAGGAATCAAGAATGTCCGATTTATCAATGAACACTTCCTGCATCTTTAGCTCGTGCCGCAGTTCTTCCTTGTCCACGGTGTCCTCGCCAGTGGACGTGTCGCACTCGGCCTCCCCCGGCTCACCTCCGTTCAGCAGGTCCCGGTACAGTGCCAGAACACACGCCTCTTCACTCGGTAGCACACCTCCGCCCAGCACGCTCCTGTAAATTTCTCTGGTGCTTATTTCCTCAAAGGGTCTCCACTCGTCAAGTTTCGGGTAGGCTTTGGAGCGCGCCAGCGCCGCCCGCGCGGCCGCCATCTCAGCAGGATCATTTTCCGGTGCATCCAACACCCCCCTCAGAGCCGCTATACGCTCATCGGCACTGGTGATTAGCGCCTCACGATACAGGGAATGATTATCCTCTTCAGCGAACACATCGTCCCTGGAGCCTTCCAACTCGGGTTTGTCGGTCTGTGGTACCGCCTGCAGTGCGGCAACCAGCGCTGCAGCCGGACGACTGGAGAACCACTCGTCACCCGGTGAGACAGCCATGGCGGCGTCCACCGCGGCAGTCGGCACTTCTCCGCTCAAATCTGTCTGACAGGTCTGCGGCCCCCTCGTCATGGCCAGGATATTGAAAAGAGTTTTTTCTTCCCGTAGCGCCTCATACCGCTCTCGCTCCAGACGCCTCTCTGGATCACTCCACTTATTTTTCATGTCTTCGTCGGAAATGGTGATACCCCCCGTGTCCCGTGACCGTCTGTACAGATACGTCCCCTGACTGAACAGACACCCGTCTGTGGAGCGGTGTCCAGACTGGTGCAACAACAGCTGTGCTAACCGTCGGCTACTGCAATCAGAACATTGTATCACTTCATGTCCAGTCTTCAGTCCTCACTCCTCAGTCAGTACTTTTGGACTGTATAACGTCACTACCTGAAGCCTCCATCAGCGCCTCCAACCTTGAATTATAATCCACTCTCTGGCTTCAACCTACAGTCTCCAGTAAGTACCTCCAGTCTTCAGTAAGCACCTCCAGTCTTCAGTTAAGCCTACCTCCATTCTTCAGTAAGCCTACCTCCAGTCCTCAGTAACCCTACCTCCAGTCTCCAGTGAGTATGTACCTCCAGCCTCGTCACCACCTTCCGTCACCTATCAGAACTAGAACCCGTCGACTCTTGACGGACCAACGGACACCACTGCGGATCGGCCGGCTCCGTCTCACCTTAATACGACTGCCGGTGTTATCATACCACCAGGGGCGTAGGCAGGGGGGGGGGCCACTGGGCCATGGCCCCCCCCCTTGGGCGCCGAAGGCGCCCTCCAATCGCAAATGCAATTGTGATATAATCGAATCGAAAAACAATCGCGACTGGAGGGCGCCCTCCAATCGCGAATGTGTTTACAGGGAAAATACGGATGGAGGGCGCCCTCGGAGGACGCCCATTCCAAATACGCCCTCCAAATACGGTTGGAGGGCTCCCTCGGGCGCCCTCCAACCACATTTGTAGGCTGTAGCTCTCTAAGCGTAACGGTGGTCGCCTATGTAAGCCGCTGTCCCGTAAATAAGCGCCCTCTCACCCGAAGGCGCCCTCCTGTAGGTCGCCACCCTGCTACATATTGCCGCCCTTCTGCTGATCGGCATCCTCATAATTATTGGCGCTCTCCTACCTATTGCGCCCTCATGTGAAATTTTCAAGGCCGCCTTTCTCCTTTTTGGCACCCTATTGTTCAGTGCCGCCCTCCTACCTATTGGTTCCCTAGTCCTTCCTGTTGAATGTTAATCGGGGCCCTTCTCTTATTGGCGCCCTCGTGTTGATCGCCGCCCTCCTAACCACTGGCACCCTCCTGTTGATCACCGCCCTCCTATCCACTGGTACCTTCCTGTTGACCAGCGCCCTCCGCACAGACGCCCTCCTGTTCGTGTCATCCTCTTGAGCAAAGGCGCCCTCCTCACCATTGCCACCCCCATTTTAAGTCACCCTTCCGCTCATTAACGACTTCCAGTTGATGACCGCCCTCCCACCTATTGGCGACCTCTTGTTGATCGCCACCCTCCTATTGGTGCTCTCCTGTTCCTCGCCACCCTCTTACCTGGTGGCGCCCTCCTGTTGATTGTTGATCGGGGCCCTCCTACCTATTGGTGCCCTCCTGTTGATCGCTGCCCTTCTATCCATTGGCGCCCTCCTGCTGCTCGCCAACTTCCTACCTATCGGTGCCCTACTATCGAAACTCGGGATGTTGATCGGGGCTCTCCTACCTATTAGCGCCCTCCTGTGGATCGCAGCCCTTCTACCTATTGGCAACATCCGTTGATCGCTGCCCTCTTATCATTTATTTACTCCTTTGGCATGTTTTTCAACTTAGTCGTTCTATTGCACATAGTTGATGTCTTGCCTGTGAAAACTGCCACAAATGAACGTGCATTCAGCACAATGAATGAAGTACCTATACCTACCAAAACTATCTACGCTCTACGATGCATAAAACACGTCTTTGGTCTTAACGGATTGATCCTACTTTACGTGCATCATGGCATGTATATGGATTACGATTAAGTATTGTCAACAGGTTCGGCCGCAACAGCAGGCATCTGAAGTTTCGGTGATTGAAACTGGTTATGTGGGTACACTGTATGCATCTGTGAGAAGGCTATGAAGGCTGGTCTGAGGTAATTTGGATGATGTTTACGCATCTCGCGCTCCGGTATCAATCCGATACGGTGATCTGGTGCGTAGATATGCCACCGCCAATAAACTTTTATACATCGACACCCATGAGCCAAGCTTTCTATACAGTTTGTGTGGCAGCGGCCCGACCAAACCTTAGGTATTTTTTACACCTTCAAATTTGGTAAAAGAGCGAGAGGAGCTTTGAACGGTGATCGTATAAAAGGCGTGCCTAAAAAGCGGAGGAAAAGGTTGTTTTCAAAAATTTCGCGCGCCTTCGGCGCAGCATTTCAAGAACACTTGACCTTTTGTGACCTGGAGTATAAAGAATACACACGATGCAAAATCAATGCAGCACGACCTATACGAGGTTACGCAAAAAAAAAACTGGTGGCATGGTAAAAAAACGCCTCCCAACCCCCCCCCCCCCCCACCCCGCTGAGCGATTTTTTATCTCGCGACCGTATGGCGCCCTCCTTGGGTGAGGTGGCGCCCTCCAAACCCTTGGCCCCCCCCTTCGCGATTTTCTAAATACGCCGCTGCATACCACACTCTACCAATGGCTGCTTCAGCTGATAATGGATGGACAGATAGGGAGACGGCGCCACTCGGTATATCGGCTCAGCACTCGGACGACAGTCGGGCAACGGAGCTGTTGGTGCAAGTTGAAAGATAACTGAATTATTTAGTTTGAAGTGCAGGGATGCTCACAAAAACTTCACACATTTTGCTTTCGAATTATTTGAAAATGACTGCTCTCAGCACGAGGATCATGGTATGAACAAATAGCGTGCCGCTACTCTTAACCCGCGACCGCCTGGGGGGGGGGGTCGGATCCGACCCCCCCCCCCTCCGTTTTTCACGAATAACTCACGAACCGCTTAAGCTATCAACTTGAAACTTCGTATAGCTTCTCCTTCATCAATTTGACGACTTTTATCAAATTTTTATGCAAACTTTTTAAAAACTTTTTGAGATATATCGATTTTATTTATGTAACTACATGGCTTTTTTCGTCAAAAAAATGGTAAATGTTTGAAAAATCGCCAAAAATCAAGGGTTTAGGCAAATTGCAAATTAAAGACATGAAAAGACGCAGATCAATGAGTTCTTTAAAATGGCTATCTTGCTTTTTCCATAAAGTGCGTAATTGACCCCTACAAATTCAAAAAACGATGTTTTTTGCAAAACAGCTAATAAAATCAAAAATTTCCAAACAAAAAAAAAACGGAGTATATGTTGAAGAGGTCTATTAGAACATAAGATGTCCTAAATTTCAACTTTCTATCTTGATTTTTGACACCCAAATTGTAAAAAATAGCTCCAACATGTCCGCGCCCCGCTGGGGGGGGGGGGCAGAATCTGCCCCCCTCCCGTTTTTCGCTAATAACTTCTAAACGCGTTACGCCAGCGACGTGAAACTTTCAGTACCTTATTATACATCAATTTGACACGATCCCTGAAAATTTGAGCGAAATCCGTCGGAAATTTTTTGAGAAATTGACGTTTTAGTGACGTCATGTTCGCCATTTTCGCCTCAAAAACGGCAAAATTTCAAACGTCGCTAAAATCTTCAATTTGAAAGGAATCAAGACGTAACAAAAAAGGTTATACGTGATTCTACTGTGTCTATCAAATGGCTATCTCGGTTTTTTGGAATTTTGGATTTTGGCCCAATTTAAAAAAAAACTGACTTTTGGGAAAATAATTATTAATAATTATTAATTATTAATTAATTATTATTAAATTAATTATTAATTATTAATAATTAATAATTATTAATAATTATTAATTATTAATTATTATTATTAAATCCAAAATTTTGAGGGTATCGAAAAAAAAACAGAATATATGTCAGAGAAGTGGTATATGTGCACCTACATACTAATTTTTAGAAGAATCGGTTCAAAAATGTGGGAGTTATTCAAAATTTTATGACGTCACGACACAAATTTTTTTGAAAAATGATTTTTTTTTTGGAAGTTCTAGACGTCGCACGGAAACGAAAATAGCACCATTCGACTCGCCGTGAAAAACTGCATCAGATAGACACCTTTTTAGGCCTTAAAAACCAACTTCAAAATTTGACCTCACTTGACCTGACCTTGACCTGACCTCGACACCAAGTTCATCCAGAGGTGGTCCATATCACTTATTGAGTGTGCCTATTGAATTCTATGAGTAAAATGACCCATAAAACATGTGT